CTCCACTGCACAAGATGGCAATCTGTAACACAAGCATCGACCCCCGGTTTCCTGGAACATTGAGCTGAGAGCGCTGATGGACGAATAATAACAAAAGTAATCTCTTTCCCCTGCATCGCAAGGCAAGCGTCTTCACGCAGGCTATAGACAGCCTTTGATGCTACCAAATAAAAAGTCCTTAATGGCAGGCTGTAGTCTGAAGATATGTGATTTCAAATGAAGTGTATCTTCAGGAAATTTCTAATTAAGGAAGTTACGATCTTTAAGAAGTTTTCTTCTTGCACTGTTGCCAATCAGCCAAACACCGACTCTAGATTAAGAAATGTAAGCATGTAAAACCCGTTACAGTAGGCCATTGATCTTAGAAGTCTACAGTTGAAGACTCATGAGACTGTCATTTACTGGTCTGTCCCGACTGCAACACGCAAGGCGAGCATTTGTTTTGCTCCGGGGGTTCCAAGTTATGGTCCTCTCCGGCAACAATTGAAAAGTGCAACTAATACTTGATGGGCAATAACCCCACGATTTATACATGGCACCCAATCAGACCGACAAGTTGAATGCCATCTCACCATGACTTCGGATACTACCTATCATAGATGTCAGTGCGTGAACATGAGATTTAAGCGGTCGGAGTTTAAGTGCTACAATTAACTCCGAATCAGATTAAAAATCCCTAGAACTCCCGATAGTACACAAACCAAACCTGGTTATTCTCCTGGCAGGCATATGCTCCGAGGGGTAAACCTATGGACTTGGACACTCAATTTGTTTAGTACGTTAGCTTGTGAGCAAGGCACTTTCGTGTGCTCAGCCAATCACGCTGACCAAAACCAGTCAATCAAAGTCGAGGCCGACCCAGACATGCCCTCGCTGTGATAAGCCACCCTCCTTCGACTCCACACTTAGGACGCCGATCTCACGCCTAGGATCCCTCCCGCTCTGGCTATGACAGTGGGTTTATTTAATGCTAGCACGCAAGAGTATCAAATGCGTACCAGTTTGAGCAACAGGGGTTCATGCTGTGATGAGAGATCGCTCCGTTTTCGCTACAAGAACAGAAAAATCCCCGATGAAGAGAGACTGGTGACAGACGTGCTCGAAAGCTCAGCGTGCAGTGTGGGTGCATATCAGTCAGTGGGTACCTCGACGACTTTGTTAACTGTGCTAAAGCTAATAAATACTGTGTGTGGAGTGAGTTAGCTAGGGAAGGAGAACAGCAACGCTGCAACCAGAAGATTGGAAACCTTTTCAGGACTGTATTTAATCGCCGACAAAGCAGCCTCAGATACGTGGAGAAGCAGACGAATTTGGAGGACGCAGTGTGGCTTGGGTGTACAAGCAAATGCGATTTCTCAAAGGACGGGAATAATAATTGGTGGAGGTAGAGTCGAGGCTCCGAAGCGGCCTAACATGGCACTTCCATTCCCAAAAAATTTATACTTAAATGAAAATGTTAACCTAGAGAAACATCAGACAATGGCAAACGATAGTTAGGCCAATAGGAATCAAATCCCGTGTAAGATTAGTTAGACACATGACGTAAAAGTCAAACAAATACGGGGTGAGGCAAAGGGAGATTAGTATAGCAACCTGCTCCTTTTTGGACCGGTTAAAAACAACGGAGTGCAACTTACGTTTGTTTTCGAGTGTATGCGAGAAGTCTCCACAAAATAGGTTTCGTTGTTCCCCATTATTCTGATCCAGATACCATTATCTCTGCAATGAAAAGGATGAACTGGCTATGACGGGGACACTGCAGGATTACTCGATGCAAGAGACACAGAAGTTGACTTCAAAAAGTATGCCCTTTTCTTCGAGTTCTGGCACAAACAAAGAACCCATTCTTGGTCCAAATGCCCCGCTAAACCTCATTAAAGTAGCACGCCGTTATGACCGGTCCTTTGCGTGAGGACACTGCAAACATGTTAAACCTAAACCATGAAATCTGTTTTTTGGAAAAAAATGAGTTAATACACGTCCATTTGGAGCCATTTCAATAAAGGTAACCCTTAAGTATATTCTAGACTAGATCTTCGGCTTAGCACAGATAGAGAGAGCATTACTAAGTTAACCATTGTTATCCAAAACCAACCCAAGTCAACCCCTCCCTTCCAAACAAAACAATTGTGATAATTCTTCCCTAGACAGAGCCCAGGACAACAACAACAACAACAACAGCTTTGTCTGGCTGCGTTGCGTTTGGAAGTCCTCACTTACTGTTGTGCGTGTTGGTTTGAGTGTCTTGAATTCTAAACAGGTCGCGTGGTAGATACGCTGGACCAACACGGAGGTCAGATAAGGGTACGACAGGCGTTATTCGTGTTGCGCTACCACAACAAACGCCAAACGTGGAGAAGGGAGTCGTGGTAGCACGCACAGGGGCGCCTTGGGCCGCGCCAGCCACATGCGCCCGATCTTGCCTCTGGTCTTCTTGACCAAGTGTTGGCAGCAGTCACAGACGTATGAGGAAGGAGAGAGTGTGTTAGATGCGAAGCAAGTCTACTATCCACGCGTTAGTCACCGTCCCTGCACCATCGCGCTGCGACGCATTCGGTGGACAGCGTTATAATTGATGTCTAAGTGTCTTGATTTTGATTCCGGCTGTAACTTAAAAATTTAAGGCCACATGCTATCAATATCCAAATTCGAAAGACGATTGCGCGTAGGGTTGCTGGGCTTTTTCGATCTTAGAACTCTCCAAGGCCAAAGCGACTGCAGCTTGTTTCAAAAAAGTAAATAAGTCAAAGGATAAAAGCTCTGTAAAAAGGAAGCTAGACCGCTCGTCCGTATCCAATCTCGGATAGCACAATTATCTCGGATACATCAATTTCTAACGGGAAGTTTGTAGTGGTCACTGCTGCCCGACGCCCTCCTAACTCTTGACGTCACAGACAAGGTCACTCGGAGCAGGACCTTGCGCGAATGCACTTTTCGGCGTGCCTCCGACCAGACAAAAACTGGCGCGCAGAACACAGACCGCCCACGCAGGTGTCTGCCCTCGCGCCGTCCAACCAATCAACATCAAGGCCACTGAGAAAAAGCCTGACGACGCAGAGGGGGAACCAACCCTGGCTAGTTTCGGTATTGTAGGCGTTAGAATTTTAAATAATCCACCCTACGTTACGTTGAGTGCCTAACTGCTGTTCGACACGGTAATTCACACGCAATACTAGGATGGAATCAGGTCGTTTTAGTCCGAGGATCGGCTTGCCGCTAACGGGTATCCCAAATCCTGATAGTGAAGATGAGAGATTGACGAGTACTGATATACAGTCAAAACATGAAGCCAGGCATAAATTTGGCTAAACTAGCCAAGCCTATCCAACTCCAGACTACAAAGAAGGTTGTAATTGACAGTTTAGGATACGAGGGAATACCCACATAAATGCGCCTGATGTACGCCCTCATACGAGGACGGCATCAGTTGGTCTGCCATAAATAGACTCCCGGCCCAATATGATTGGAAGAGTGACTGCAAAGCAGAAAGCCTGTAGTGGTCGCTTCGGCCCGACGCCCACCTATCTCTTGATGCCACAGACAAGGTCACTCAGAGCATAGGACCTTGCGTGAATGTACTTTTCGGCCTGCCTTAGACCAAACGCAAACTGGCGCACGAAACACGGACCACCCACGCCAGTGTCTACCTGTGTGCGGTTCAACCAATCACCATCAAGGCCGCGAGACAGAGAAAGGATTCGGTGGCC